GGTGTCCAATGTAGGTCGTACAAATAATCGCCCTGCACTACACCAAAATCAGGAGCCATCGACTTTAGTAATAATAGCAGATATTTGTGGTGTACTTCCTTTTTTACGTTTGTGGATTTCTTTGTTGTGAAGTGTGTGGTTTAAATAGGGAGGTATCAACGTTCAGTATGCGTAATGACGCACATGGCAAAGTAAGTGATGTCTAATCAATTCAGACGTGTAGTGAATTCTATTCAGTTCAGCTTTGCGACAAAAAGGCTGATACCTGCTTGTACACCTGCACTGATTGGTCATATCATGCCATACAGTCGTGAAGCACTTTAGTCCAATCAACGTCAGCTTTAAAGAAAAGCTAAAGCTGATAAAGCATAAGCCCACTTGTAGACGTGCAGTGTGTTGTCACTTAACGTCATATTAGGTAATGGGCAATTCATCCCGTTTGACCAACAATGCATGTATTTAATTTAAATTGAAAGCTGATATTGCAATACAGTTATGCATACAAATCTGTCATTAATTCAAAAGTACAAAGTAGTTATACAAAAAGACCAGTCAAAACACAAAACAAAACTGTACAAAGTGGACTTGAATCAAAGAACATCATCATAGTTCGTTTTACTTAGCCGAGATTATTTCCCTTCTTAAGTGTCTCATTTAAATAGAGAGGTATCATGTTTCATTATCAGTAATGCTTCACATGGCAAAAGCTAGAAATTGCATGCAGTGATTGGTCATATCATGTCGCTTACTTTGTGAATATTTTGACCAAATAAAGCTGTAGACGCATGCACCCACACATGCTCGTGAAGTCCTTTTACTGCAAACAACTCGGCTTTAAAGAAAAGCTTAAGCCTAACTATAGACCTGGCGTGATTTGTCATAGCACGTCGTGTCAAATATAAAACTTTTGACCTTTAAGTAAACAACCCCTCAATGGCGAATTTCATCCTTTCTGACCAATCATATAATCATTTTAAATTGAAAATACATATGCATGGTAAGCCATCATTAATACAATGCAACAGTACAAAGTACGTTTACAAAATATAAGTTATTACACACAAAATAAGTGGACGGCCGTTTAAGAACATCAACATAGTTTACTCTACCCAACCTTACTTAAAAAACAAAAGACTAATAACAAAGAAAACCATGCACCAAAATATAGATTTCATATATTTGAGTTTCTTCTCCAAACTCTCAACTTTACGGACAACATCATCAAGGCTCAGTTGCAGTTCTACAGTTTTTGTTGCTTCAATCTCCAAATTGAGGCCCAAAACATTATTCTCATTTTCCAACCCTTTTTTTTCGGACGATTTTAAATCTAGCCGCTCCGATAGCAATTTCTCCATTACATTTTTGCACAAAATTTGCTCCTGCAACCGTTCCTTTTCAGCCTTAAGCTTGTTAAAACAAGCCTTTGAAACGACGGAAACTCGGGATCAATCCATACAAACATGTTACAAGCCTTTTCAGCATCATTGAACTGTAAATAAATCAAAATAATGAAGAGGTCAAACTTGATGTACATACATGTTAAGAAAATAAATCACTACGTAACAAACACAATCGAAAGGCAAATAAACTTTGAAACTCAAATAATCTTAGGCATAACTGCATAACCAACTTTCTGGGCAAATAAAATTTCCAAGTACAGATGCACAAGAACACACTCAAATTTAAAATCATGTGTAAATTGCATTTCATAACAAAAATAACTAAAATTTGGACTGCACATAATAACAAAATTGTACCAGGTAAAAGGATAATATCCAACAAAGCTAAATAACTAAAAAAACACATTCAGAGCAACTGCCACCCGAAGTAGACATTGGCATGCTTGTTATAATTATACAAACAACTTTAAAGGATAGTGAGGTAAAAATTTAACCTTTCGGCGAGGACATTTGCAAAACCTTAGAGCTGGGTTATCACTCGTCATTGATGTGAACACATCGGCTGTGTCGCCACAATCACATAGCATAACTTCAAACCGACTACTATATCGATTGCTTGAACTCGTGTGAGAAGTATTTGACATCTTGATTCGTTGAAAATATGAAAACTAATAACGAACGAGTCATTTCAATGAGGATAGGAAGAATAACATAAAGCAAACAAATTCATGATTTAAAAAAACCTATTCATCTCCATAGTAATACACAAAGGAATACCAGAGAGATCACAGTTATCTACTAGTAGGGGGTTGGAAGATTTAAAAAAATAATCAAAGTAACTAGCCAGCTCATCAATAGTCTCATGATTGTTAGCATATGTACTCCAACCAGCTTATCACTTGACTCAGCAAGCTATTCACATTCATTCTGTTTATGACACTGCATTGAAAAAAGCTAGTGTTCTTAAGGAAAATGCAACTTATCACTAAAGAAATCCCACTCATCACAGTTCCTATGGCCCCCCATAGCTTAAATCCTATCTAGCATTCATATGTTTACCCCATCTAGAATCGAAGTAAAACCTTTTCCTGATGCCATATTATTGTGGTCAGATGATGCCATAGATATATTGATAACTATATAGATTAACTAACAGCCACTTATTAGGGAAAACAAGCAATCTATCAACTCTAACTTCAATGAAGTAACTGAAATCTCCCCTCATAAGTTGGACAAACTCCCTGAAATCTCTTATGTTGCCCCCTTTTTAAGCCTGGTTATGAAGGATATCATTGAGATCACCTCCCAGAGAGGATAATGTTGGACAAACTCCCTGAAATCTCTTATGTTGGACAAACTCCCTGAAATCTCTTATGATCGACATACATAATGTATGATTAGCTACTCAATATAGTACCCGGACTTAGCATAAACTTCCGAGAGCAAGAGCAACCATAACCAGGAGGATAACATAACATGAAACTCTCTAAAAAAGCCCAATACTAAGACAACTAGCAAAAAAACCATAATTTGCAACTTAACATGTTCATCATCCCAAAAGCTGTTCATGATTCCAAGCAGCAGCATTCCTCAAATTTGCAACTTATAACTCACCATTAAGAAAGTCAACAATAACAAGAACAAGTACAGTTTCTAAGATCTTAGAAAACAGATATTCTTCAGTCAACATAATCATAATAATAACATTCATGGTAAACTTGTGTTGGTACAAATACAACAGAGGTGTATACATAGAACAAATGCAACAAAACAAAGCAGAGCTGTATTTATACACATGCACCTAAGCTGTATACATACAATAACTGCAGGATGGTAACTAAAATAAGATAAAAGCCTTACAGTTGCAGCCCACCAACAGAGTTTACCAGAGATGTGTAGCACATAAGATAAAAGCCACCTAGTTTAAATTTCTTGCAATAAAGATAATTCACATATGCACTGTACCTCATAGAAACTTACAAGCATTATACATTTTAAAATTTTGTTGGTCTTGTTAAGCACTTTAGCTCATGTAAACGCTTCCTCATATTCTCTCCCACTATCAATACATCAGCTTAATGTAGAAATGTAGAAAGAATGTAAAGCAAGAGTTTAGGTATTTGATTAACTAACAAGGACCTGAACTATTTTAATATTGGATCCCCTCTAAACCCATAGCTTAAGTTCATTTTAACATCTCAAACAAAAAAATGTTCAAACTCAAACCCTAGACCTGATGGAATTTCTAATTTAAAATAAACTTAATCAAACCCGTACAATATATTCGTCATAGCACAAAAATTTTTTAATTTCACGAACAAAAAAAAAAAAAAAATAAAATAAAAAAGTGGAAGCCTCAATTAGAATTCCTTCCATCACAGACTTGAAATGTCTAGATTCAAAATCATCGGCGCACTGTGCTCTACAAAGTACAAAGATTTTTTTCACCCACTCTCAATTCCTCTCAATTCAAGGTTCAATAATTTTTGTGCAATGTGGAAAGAATTCTAATTGAGGCTTCAACTTTTTTAATTTCTGGAAAATAGTTGTAATATCCCGAGATATTATCAGTATAAATTACGTTTAATTCCGATATAGTAACGTTATCGTTTATTATTTTCGGAATTAATTAAGTTCAGTCAGAATTACCGAAATCTATTTTCGGCGTACCGTTTACGTCCGAAATAATTTTGGTAATTAAGTATTATGTTTAATTTAACAATTAAACATCATTTGAGTGATTAATTGGAATTAATCACATAACTTAGCCTTAAAGCCCTAATTAGCCGTGAGATGAGATGAATTTTTTTCCAAAAATTTGCCTAAGTACCGTAAGCCTCCTTAAGCTTAAAGAAAGGC